TGAGTGGACCGCCATATGTGCTTTGGGCAATCTGTTTGGCAGCCTGTGTCTACCTGTATGCCCGGTGTCCTACCGCTGATGGCGTCTCATCTCCGTTTGTGCGTCGTTTTGACAGGGTGCATGACGTCAGCTGGCGTCGCTGCAGAAGTTTGAACCGGTCGGGTAAGAGTCATTCGTGTTTGATTACAAGCGCTACGTGCAAACAAGAGGCGATGCACGCATTGTGACAACTCGTGATGTGCGATTCATGCCTGGCTTGCGTTTCCCTGATCCTAGGCACCCAGTGCGTCCACGGATGTCCACGGACAGGATCGTTGCACGAGGGCCGACTTCAGTCGCAGCACGCAGGACGCGTGGCAAGGCCTCAGCGCCAGCGCGGGCGCTGAGGCCGTACAGTGGGCTGGTAAGGCAAGCGCGAAATTTCGAGTCGCAGCGCGAAGGCTTGCGCGAGTGCCCGTCCCACTAGCCGCTGCAAAACGTCGCCTACAACAAAGGGCGCGAATGCCACGTCATCCGCTTTTGCAGAGCGACGAACGCGGATTGCAACAAGGGCCGGGGCGGGCACATCGGCTTGTGCGAGTCTCTGCGCAGCGTGCAGCGCAGTGCACTATCGACGTCGTCGTCTAAAAAGATGCGAAGGTGCTAATTGGTAGCTCCAGAAGGGTTAGCGGCAGTGCCACGCCGTGTTTTCCGCAGGCCGGCGAGGGATGCAGGCAACCACCTCTTCGGGCTTGTAGTTGGTGATCTCGGCCGGTACAGGACCGTACGGTTCGGGCGGGTGCTGCATGGGATCCTGGGGTTCGGCGAGAGTAGCGTCGGTTGCAGGTGCGAGGGGCTCTGAGAGTCAACAACTCTCCACGCGCGAAGGCCTCGCAGTGCATTGCCAGTTCTGCAGGGGGACGCGCGACTCACCCGCGGTACGGTGGAGCAAGAAGGCATGTTTGCTCTGAGATTAGCTCGAATCCAAGTCCGCATGGCCATGCGAAGGGCCCTGCGCAGGCGGGCGGCGACTCCTTGAAGGGGTGAGAGTGCGGCAGTGGAAGGTGTCTTCGAGGCAGATGTCATCCAAGGAAGCTCAGCCGCTCTCGGCGTTGCGCGGCAGTGCCCCCCCCGATCGAGGCTGAGGTCATCCGTGAGCTTCACAAGGTGGACGGCGTGTTCAGCCCTCTGAGTTTGCGTCCATTCTTTTGTGCCTCGAACGACCACATGGGATTAAGGTGAGGCCAACGTTGATTCTTTCGACTCGCATCGCCATTTCTGCACTGGTACGCCGAGATATCACCTGCAAAGCGTGAAATGCGGCAATGTTGACAGGCATGCAGATCAAACTCCACATGGTCAACTTCAGAGCGCGTGATGTACAAGGTGATCAGGGAATGCCATGTTGGCAGTGCCACACTTTCGAAGCCATCCTGACATGCAACCTGGCAAGCGTGGCTCAGATGTGCTGCAAACTCTTTTACTCATCTTTCTTCCAGGCACTGGTTCTTCGGGGAGTTTCCGCTTGTCGAGACACGACGTGGGGTGAGTGCGCACTGAGAGGGCCTTCCGCTGTCGCGGGGAGTGTGGGCAAGCACGAGCTGCATCCTGCCTGCGCGCAAAGCAAGGCTTGAGAAGATGAGATCAGGAAATTCTTCTGATTGTTGCGTAATTGCTAGGCCTAGCTGACTCAGGTTCGCTGATGCGGTCATCTCCTCTGCGGTTGTCTTTGCGGCGGGTCGTTGAGAACGTTGCACATCATATTCCACGTTTCTCGGCACGTGTTCAACAGTAGTGTGCAAACACTATGACTATGGCATTCAAACGTTCCGCGTCCATCATCGTCTCGCATGTGCCGCAACTGCTCGCAGCGGTAGCTTGGCTAGCGAGCTCGTGGTGGCCGGCTGATTTGAGACACCACGCTCAACCGTCCCGTCAGTTGGGGGGCGACTGCCACCGCGGGCTGATCGCAAGCGAGCCGCCACAGGAGGAAACGGAGGTGCAGCACTTCTATCGAGGTGTGGACAGTGGGCCGTGCACTTGCGCCCGCTGTGAGGTTATTTCGGTTTGCATGAGCATGCCCATAATGCCGAAAGTCGGTCGGGCAGAATCTGCAATCGATTGCCAACACACATGCATGACAAGCCTTCGGTGCCGCGCAACCAAACCATGCCAAAACCAGCCCCATTTTTACGCCTGCGCAGGACGAGCTGGCCTCCGATTCGGGCCTCGGGCATCGATATCTTGTCGATTCTTATGTACAGCTGGCACTTCTCGAAATCAAGGGAGGGCGTCAGGTTCAGGGTGCTCACTGAAAGATGAGCACTGAGCCCAATCAGAAACCACTGTGCGTATATTGTCGTTTGAGAAGAATTACAGATACTATCCGTGATAATATATATATATATACACGCATATATTACTAATGAGTCAAGTCCCCCAATTCGGGTCCTGCCCCGAGGTTTCAGAAGCGACCATCTAGAGAAATCATGGCTAAGTGAGACCTGGCTTCGTGTCTCCCCACACGTGGCTTTATAAACACTGGACGTCATAACCTGTTCCATTACAGCATTACGTACGAGTCATTATTGCGCAATGGAAACGGTGAAGGGAGAAGAGTGGTGAAGAGAAGCCCAAAAAGAAAAGCTAACAGATGCTGTGTGTCCGGATTGGCACCAATTCATCGACCCGCACCACAGCCACATGCCAGTGCTGCTCCAAGCTACAATGGAATACAACTCGCGTGGACCCCCCAAATACTTCTTACAAGGGGCCTGAGGGTACTTGAATGTTGGCATTTGGGGCATCTCTAAGGGTACCTATAAGGCCAGCCCGAAATCCTAAATCCTAAGCCCTAAACCCTGCAAACCTCTGGATCCGACTTTCGTCCGATTCGTGCCGCCCATGATCAATCGCCGGTGCTGCTGTGGCTGCAGATGCCGGGGGCTGCCGCCATTTGGGCCTTCTTTCTCCTGGGCTCCCCACGGCAGAATCAGAACAATGAAAGCCTGACTCCAGCGTCTGTGCTTTGGAGCCGCACGGAGACAGCATGGCACCCGCTCCGGAAATGAGCAGACCCTTCCAACGGAGATACATGGATGAAGAGGCGTTTGCAGTTATGCTCTAAACCCGATGTCTTTTTGCACCCTCAATCTTTTCAGCTTCGGGGTCAATGGTTTGGGATATATATATATACATATATATCTATATATATATATATTCTTCTTAAGCTTGTGACGAACGTTTGCTAGGCAAAACAAGCACTCCGGAGAAGATGACACCCATGGAAAGATAGCACCCAATTCTGCGCTGTGACGTCGCGCCGTGGTGAAGAACCAACATACCCACCCAAAAAGTGGAAACCCTAAACCCTAAACCCTAAACCCTAAAAAGGATGAGAACCAAGTGCTGCCTCGGCTCCCCGCTGATCGGGAAAGGTCTTTAAACACTTGGCGGCTGTAACATTAAATCGAACTGCACTGCAGCGTGCTCGTGGCTTGGACAACAATGTACAACAACAAACTCTTTCGATTATTCATTATATATATATATGTATAATATGTATATGTAAATATATATATATATATAGATATATAACTTCCTTTATTAATAAATGAAAATAATTACAGCGCACAAGCATAGCCCTATCGAACCGTCGAAATTTCAAGCTCCCTCAGGTGGGCGCGTGCCACCTCGGAAGGAACCAATCTCAGCAATTCAGAAGGCTTTCCTCCACACACTCGCTCTCTCTCCCCCCCACTGTTTCTCTTTTTTCTCTGTATCTCTAGATTTGTGTGTTTTTGTTCGTCTGATCCTTCCTTTTGCTCTCTCTCTCTCTCTCTACTTTCTCTTTATCTCTAGACTCTAGATTCTGCTTCGCTGTCTAGGTTTGTGTTGTTGTTGGTATGTTTGTTTTGTTGTTCGCTCTCTCTCCCTCTCTCTCTTCCCCTGCGGGTCCCACCCGGCAGGTCTCGGCTGCAGGCGCACCAGGAAGTCTCGCATGTCTGCATGGTCTTCATCCCTCTGAGCAACACGCACCATTTTTTGCATCTGTGAGGCTCATGAAGCTGTCTCACTTAGCCATGTAAGAACATTCACGTGGGGACTAGGATTGGCTATCCTAAGACTCCATTGCCTACTGACTGCTGCGTCCTTGGCAGCACGGCATCTTAAAGGCCGAAGCCTTGTCGGAACTTCTCGTCTCGACTCACAGTCACGACGCTCAGGTTCCGCACACTGACTGCCACATCGTCTGAGAAGCTCTCGGATTTGAGGCCTGCATCACAGGAGTTACTCGTGATCAAGCCCCCTCAAGCACTTCTCAGGCAAACGCTACTCAAAGTGTGACAGTCTATGAAATGCCGGACTTTTCAGACTGTGTTCGACGTGAATTGCAGCAAAGGCTGGCAAGGTAGTGTCAGGGATTCTGACGCCTGACATGGACACACATGAAGACACGTGGGACCGAAATGGAGCTGAACTTGGGCCAAAACACCAAGCCAGAGACCACAGCTCCCTACACATGCCTACAATTAGGTTTGGGGATTCGGGATGGTCGTACCCTTTGTGCAGTATAGTCCTTGTATTCCATTAGAAAACGTCCTCTGAAGCATGGCATGATCCAGTGTGACTGAAGGCCTGTGTAGCGCCATCTCATGGTCCAGCGGCCATCGCTTGAGAACTTCATCGCGAAGATTTCGGCGCGCGCCGCCTGCCCACGTCCCCATAATGAAGGACTCGTGTTTGAGGGGAGCGCGCTTCAGGCTCGCGGCGTAAACAAAAGAATAGTCATGCGATACTGATCTGCGCACCTGGACTGTGCTCAAACCGTCAAGCCTCAGCCCCAAACTCCCGAACCTGTGCAGCGAACTGAAACTCATGTAGCCAAGTCTGCACACCGGACAATAGAGGCATATTTTTGGGTGGATTTTGCCAAAAGCGGGGGACCCGAAATTTTCGGCAGCTCCCAAGGAATCTGCCTTCGCGCCTGCCGAGTGGCGGCACTGATCGCGGCCAGGGAATCATAGTGAAGAGGCGCGCGGCCGCGTCAGGCGAAAGATCTGGATTTGCCTCACGCTTTCACGAACTTTTGGTCTGCAGAGAGGAGTGACCGAACAAATGCCGAGCAGTTTGAGTGAAGAAATTCGGGCTTCTAGCAAAGGGACAAAAGTGTCGCTCGTGTGCATTTCGTTTCTAACACCTCTATACTCCTACTGCCAATAATATAGTTTATGGATAGTCCGCATATACCTAAGTTCCCGCAGAAAGCTTACACTCATACGACTTTCAGGCTCCAAATACTATTCAGGCACAGGCGGAGAGTTTAGGGTTTGAGTCAGGTACTTCTGTTGAAAGAAACACAAAACAAAACGTAAACCGAATAAACCCTAAATCCTAAACCCTAAACCCCACTGCTTGCTCGCTTTGCTGCTTCATTGGGCTCAACTCCTTCTCCCGGAACAGGGCGTTGCGGACTGCTTGCCGGGCTGCCTGCCAGTCACGGCTTCGTGTCTTGTTGAGGCTCTTCGACTTTACGATCTGTAACACGATCAGAGCCCAAGACCCCTTAAGAAAGGAATTTCTCCAAGTTTCATTGAACCTTGCAGGGCTAATCCCAAATTAAGGGTATTGCACTATAAGCCCTAAGCCCAAATTTGCTTGCTTAAGCAGTCTCCACGCCCCTTTTGCCTCTGCGTCCGCACCGAGCGACACGAAGCGCGCGTCCGTGAAGCCAGCATTCAGGCCGTGCAGGCAGCCCAAGGCAAAGCCCTCCGCATCCTGCGCTCTGCTCTGACTCCTTTTTGTTTAGGACCGGGAACCCGAAAAACCCTGAGCTCTGAGCCGCAAGCCATGATGAAACCCCCAAAATCCTAGACCATCTTAGACCATGAATGGGCCTAGGATGTGCAGGGCTCAGGGCCGACGATGTCGGCAGTTGACGGAAGAAGCGGTTCCGAAAGCGGGGGATTTTCTCTAGCTTCTGCGTAAGCCATTCAGGTTTACCCTTGTACGATCCTCGGAAATCTGAACCCTGAACCCTAAGCTCAAAACCCTTAACCCTAAACCCTAAACCCTAAACACTGTAAATGAGCCCACTTTTGCCTCGCTGTCCTCAAGGCGCTGCACCTCGATGCCCTGGAGGAGGGCCGCGCCGATGAAGCCCAGGGTGGCCTCTTGGGTGCTGGGGGGGAGTTTAGGGTTTGGGGTTTATAGAGTTTAGGGTTTAGGGTTTGGGGTTTAGGGTTTAGGGTTTAGGGTTTGGGGTTTAGGGTTTAGGGTTTAGGGTTGGGGTTCCAGGGTTTTGGGTTTAGGGTGTGCTCTGCGAGGTCGCGCGCTGGTAAGCGGGCAGTGGTATGCAGACATGCCTCACGACTGTTTGATCCAGGGCCTTGGGGCTTCACCGAGAAAAACCCAATGCACATCAACGAAAAGAAATGAACCTTCGGAAGAAGGGGCCGGAATGGGTCAAGGAATATTTTCTAAAAGCACCCTAAACTCTAAACCCTAAACTCGGAACCAAACCCTAAACCCTGAAGCGAGGCGCAGCTCCTCCACAGCTCGTGGCTTGAGGATCGGTAAAGTTTAAGGTTTGTAGGGTATATAGGGTTTAGGGTTTCCGGTTCCAGAAATAAGCACCGGCCTGGCACTTGTTGGGATTGTGGTGGTTGGCAACATACGCCTCGTCACAGGTTGCTCAGGGAGCGGGGCCAGTTCCGCTGCACTGTGCTAGGAACCTCCAAACCCTAAACCCCGAACCCCAAACCCTAAACCCTAAATCCTTAACCCCAGCCCTGAACCCTGGACCCCCGCACGTGGACAAGAATTTCCACGGGTGCAGCTGGGGCTGTTCTGAACTTGGGCGGCCCAAGATGGGGTTGGGGCGCATTGCGGCGGTGTAGTTTCTATTCGGCGGCTGCGCTGTTGGTCAGATTCTCTCCTGTAAAGAACCACCTGGGTGTCCTACTGATGTCTTTGGGGTGATAAATAGAACAAGCTCGGGAGATTACTGCTTGTTCAATCATTACCATCATCAACTCGAATGTGTGCTGTACTTAGCAACTTGTTTTCTGTTATGACCCAAGACGATACACACACCTTAAACCCCAAACCCTAAACCCTAAGCCGCAATCGTATTTAGGGCCTCTGTGCGTGGACCGAGGTGTCCAGCCACAGCTCGCATAAAGAGCGTGCCGTCCTGGGCTCGGCGAAATCAAGGTTGGCCCATGGAACCCTACCGACAACATGTGAGCGAAGGTAGACCCACCAAGCACCACACAGAAAAGCCCAAGGGCCTAACCCTGATGGCAGCTGGACAAAAACTGCATGTCGTTTTGCACTGTCAGGCTCAAAGGTGTTAGATATCTTGCGGCAAGGACATCTTATCTGCGCTTGAGTTTGTCGGAATTGCGTGCGCAGTTGCAGAATGGATCAAGCTGAAGCCCTAGGCCCTGAACCCTGAACCGGGATTCAGGGCACCAGGATAAGATTGCAAGGCTGCTGTGCTGCACAGTGAGGCTGTAGTCTGACTTTCAGTATTGAGTATTTAAGTATTCAGCATTAAGTAAAGCATGAAGTGTTGAGTCTTTAGTAGTAAGTGTACCGTATTAACTCAGGCTGAAGCCGGGCCGTGCTAGCCCAGAGCAAGCTGCACAGCTGAAGGTTTCGGGCTTGAGCTTTCGTAACATGGGAAGCATCCTACATCCATACAGAGATATTAGGGGGGTTTATGACAAAAAGGGACCCCAAACATAGATCCCAACAAGAGCCCACGACCCTTCGAATCTCCCACCAGGTCTGTGCATCCGTGAGACTCCTTCGTAGAGGACATCCTTAGCTTCCCATACACCAGCAACAAAAAAGACCTGAAACCCTAGGAACGATAAATTTGAAGTGTCAGGGTTTAGGTTTAGGGGCTAGGGTTTAGGGTTTAGACCTGTGGCTGGTGTGTTCTCCTAATCGAACCACTCGTGCTTCTTGCTGTTGTTTGCCGCAACGGAGGGCGGGGGCTGGGGGTTAGGGTTTAGGGTTTGGGGTTTGGGGTTTGGGGTTTGGGGTTTGGGGTTTGGAGTTTGGGCTTTAGGGTGTTTCTTCTTCAACCCAGCTGCTGCCGCGACCACAAGATCTGGCTTCCTGTGGCAGGCTTTTGGGTTCATGGCCCAGGGCGTGGGAAAGAAGGACCTCCAAGATCTTCGATCAAAACCCTTGACAACAAACAAAAACCACGCAACTCCCCAAAACCCCAAACCCACCACCCTAAACCCAAAATCCTAAACTCAAAAACCCCCAAACCCCAAAACCCATTGCAGCTCGGAGGCTCGACGAGGTAGCTGCCCTCATCCGCCCAATCGAGGCATCGGGCCGTCGTGCAGCGGCTGAGGCCATTGGCCTGTTATTCACACCGCCGCTCGTCTGAGGTGCCTTCTCTACTGTTTACTTAAGAACCCCCAAAAATAAACAAAAAACAATAGTCCCCATATTTCCCTTATACGGACGAATATGTTTTTTGTTTTTCTGGGGGTTCTTTAAGCAATTGGCAGTTCTGTGCATTGCCCAGAGAACCTGGAGCCCTTAATGTAAGGACGTTGAGGTGCCTTGAAGTGGGTTTTAAAGGTGTGAGGTTGAACAACTGCGGCAACGAAACGCGTCTAAGTGCTTCGAAGCCCGGTATAAGCGCCTTGATGTTCTGCTCCATGAGTGGCAGGAGTTCCTTCTCCGAATCGGTGATGCAGACTGGGGCCTGGGGCGCGGGGATTGCACCAGAAGGGAGAGGCCATGTGGGGGACGGGCTTCGCGCTGGCCGTGTGCAGGTCAGAGTTAGATTGCGCGAGAGTCGCCCGTCTATTCTTTCGGGGTAGCAAAGAAACCATGGTGTGGAATCGTGGAAGATTCGCAAGTGGTGGGCCGTCAGTATGTAAGAAGCTGGGCGCTCAGATTGCACTCCGGGGGAGGACTTCGTCTCGTGTCAGGGCTGTTCAAGGAAGCGGATTCACCATGAATCAAGCAAAAAAGTATTCATATGCAGGGCGAGCTCGGGGTTCGTAACGAGGCTACAATCGGCTTCACGGCCGTTGCTAAGCAGAGGGCAGGCTGAACTAACAACAACGCAGCACTCGACAGACAGCACACGGAGAATTACAACAACATCTCACCAAAAATGCAAACGCAGCCGAGACTCAGCGCCGAGACGGCCCAACGTCAGGCCGACCACACCTGTGTTCAGCAAGTGGCGCGAGCACCCGGGACCGAAGCCGTAGGGTTTAGGGTTGAAAGGGTTCAGGGCATATAGGGTTTATAGGGTTTATAGGGCTTACAGGGCTTACAGGGTTTATAGGGTTTATAGGGTTTACAGGGCTTATAGGGTTTCTAGGGTTTTACTGGCTGAAGCCCATGGACCCTGCTCCTGAAGAAGAAGGTGGCCTGTGGAGATGCCTACGATTGCACCACCCACCCACCCCTCGCCCCCAGACCCAAGGCCAATCCGAAGCCCTCTACCCTAAAGCCCTTACCTTACACCCGAAAGCCCTAAACCCTCAAGCCTTACATAAGCAGGTAGGACCTAGGAGCTCAGAGCATGTCCTGTCTTGAATGGTTACTAAACAGCCCTAAGCCTAAACCCTGGACCCCAAACCCTAAACCCCAAACCCCAAACCCTAAACAGCCCTAAGTGTCAAGTTCCTTCCTTCAGAGCAAGCCAAGTCGTGCCTGTGCCAGCCCCCAGTTCAAGCGCCGACTTGCCTGGCTGGAGTTTAGGTTTAAGGGTTGAGGGTTTAGGGTTTAGGGTTTCGGGTTCAGGGTTTAGGGTTTAGGGTTTAGGGTTCAGGGTTCAGACTCGGGGCGTTTCAGGCTTGTCTCCCCGCTTCGGATGGTTTGTTGGATTGGTGAAACAACTCCTTGTTCTACTCCTCGAAAATGTTTGGTCTTTTTGGGAACCTGTTAGACCGCGGCTACTTTTTGAATTTAGGGTACCCCAAAAGAAGATTGCGCGGTACTTCGGGGTTGAGGCTGCTTCTGCTAGTGCTGTGCATTTCAAAGTCGCAAGCCCGGCATATTCTCAGTATAGAGGGACATGACGGAAGCAAGTTGGAATCCCCAGCTCCGCAACTCTCAGCCCCTTGCCAGCCACGGAGGGCGCAGCCGCGGAAGCAAAGAACCGGCAAAGAGACAGCGCCCCGTCCCAAAGGAGGTTGCCGTAGAGAACCTCTCCGGGGCAGGGAAGTCCGCCACGGCAGGTTGCAGCTTGAATCAAACCCAACTCAAGCACCACACGGTACCCCCATAAACCCTTCCAACCCGAAACCCTATAGACCTCCTAAACCCTATCAACCTCCTAAACCCTCTAACCCCTAAAGCCTCTAAACCCGAAAACCCAAAAAAAAGCCATAATCTGCCCCAGAAGCCTTTAAATGCGCCGAAGACTTGGCTCCGATTTCGGAGAGCGTGACTCTGGAAGCCCCAAACCCGAAACCCTATACCTAAGCAGCCCCTAAGTAACCCCTAAGGTCCCTTACAAGGGTCCCCCTCCTTCAGTCCCTTGAGAAAAGAAAGCCCTGAAGTCTACAAATCCCTCAGCTGTCTCGCGCGGCCTTCTCCTTGTGTGGCTTGCCCTCGAAGATGAGGAGGCCCTCCTGAGTCTGGAAGCTGTCTCCCTCGGTCGCAGGCGCGCCTGAACAGGGGACGACTCCCATGGCGTTGTTAGGGGCTTTTGGGGCTTCAAGGGTTCAGGGTTGAGGGAGTTTAGGGTGAGGGTTGAGGGTTTTCAGGGTTGAGGGTTTAGGGCTTGCAGGCTTTGGAGTTTTTAGGGTCATCAGGGTTATGTACATATCTCAAATTCCCAGAAGGCCTGGCCTGTCCCCACCGGCATCTGCCCTTCTGGAGGCGGTGACCCGCGGAGGTTCCAAAGACTCAGACCAAATCGCGAGGGCAAGGCTCCCAAAGCCAAACTGACAACTTGTGAGGCTTTCGGGTTTAGGGTTCAAGGTTTGGGGTTTAGGGTGCAGGTCTGTAGGGTTTGCTGATTGTGCTGAGTGGAGGTTCAAGGAAAACTCGGGTCGTCTGGCTGCGGGCTGTGTTGGTAGCTTCGGACTCACCAAAGCTACTTTCCTCCACACATACACAAGCTCGAGCCAGTATGGCAAGGCGAATGGATGGGTGTAGGAGGGTACATAGGATTAGGGTCCATGTACCTAGATAGTATATACATGGGCCCCCAAAGCTACTGTATGGGAACCCCTTTTTAGGCCCAAGTCTGTGTTGGGGCGGCTGCTCATGGCCAGGGCAGCAAGCTCGTCTCGGGTACCTGCGGCTCGTTCTGCTTTGGTCAAGTAAGGTGCCCGAAACAAGGCTTTTTAACCAATGACTTTCAATAGCCCACTTACAACAAATTCTAGCTATAGTGGCCCTACTTAGAATAAGCAAGATAAGTAATCAAGGAGATTTGGCAAGCGAGACATATTGGATTTAGAGCAGAGGCAGAATAGCAAAGAGCACAGACGTGCCATGATGCGTGCATTGACTTAGCTGGTGTAACTCTATAGGGCTTAGGATGCGCAGTCCATTTTAGGATGATGTGGTGCTTGCTCAGCTCAGCTTCGGAGCTGGGCTGATCAATAAAGCGCGAAACCGCTCAACCCTGAAACTCCTAAACCTAAAGCCCGAGCCCCCCCACCCGAAGCATAAGGTACCTAGAAAATTAGCGTTTCGAGTTCGGGGGCAGGCGGTTATTTAGAGGTGGGGTATAAGTAGGCGGGTATTTGCAGAAATGTCCGGTTATAACCTTCTTTATGGCGGTACACATGATCCTCCAAGTCGGTTCGCTCCTAAACGCCGGAACCTTGAACCCCCTACACCCCAGCCCCTAAACCCTAAACCCTAAACCCTAAACCCTAAACCCTAAACCTTAAACCCTAAACCCTAAACCCTAAACCCTAAACCCTAAACCCTAAACCCTAAACCCTAAACCCTAAACCCTAAACCCTAAACCCTAAACCCTAAACCCTAAACCCTAAACCCTAAACCTAAACACCCAACAGGTCCCCTGGTCCTCCCCACCTGAGCCCTTCGAGGAGGGCCGGCGTGCAGTGGCTCCGGTGAGCGGCCAGCCTTGTCCAAGCGCAGCTTCGGGGTTGGTCGGGTCGTTTGGGGTTTGGGGTTTGGCTTGGGGTTTGGGGTTTGGGGTTTGGGGTTCGGGGTTCGGGGTTCAGGGTTCGGGGTTCGGGCTATAAGGTTTGTAGGGTGCATCGGGCGTATAGGGTTTAGGGTTCGGGTTGAGGGTTTGGGGTTTCGGGTTTAGGTCGAGGGTTGAAAGCTTCACAAGAGCTTGGGCCTCACCCGATTCTATTTATGAACCCTAAGCCCTTTATGCGCGCCTCCCCTGTGCTGCCTTTACTCCTGGGCCCCGCACACAGCTGATGGGGCGAGCAGACCTGGGAGTTGTGTTTCGTTTTGGAAGGAATCTTTCGAGCCCTAAGCCTAGCCCCAAAAGGCCTCGCTTTAGGAGGCGGGGTCGTAACCGCAATAAGGACCCATTTTTTTTAACCACAACAAGGAATCACTTAACCATGATAAGGATTTGTGCCTCAGTGCATGATAGCCACAATCCCCCCCCCCGACCACATGGGAGTGACAAACAGCCCTCAGAATTGAGATTTTAAGCCTCCCAAAGCTCCAAAACCAGGTTCTTTCTGTCACCCCCTCCCCCCCTTTCTGTCACTGCGGATGCCCCCCCCCCCCCCCCACATAGGAATAAAACACCTGAAATTGAGGTTTTGGCCTCCCAAAGCTCCAAAACCAGGTTGTTTCTGTCACTGCGGGCGCCCCCCCCCCCCCCGCCATGAAAATTCTGTCACTGCGCCCAGACCCACATAAGAGTGACAAAAAGCCCTCAGAATTGAGATTTTAAGCCTCCCAAACCTCCAAAACCAGGTTCTTTCTGAGTGACAAAAAACCTGAGAATTGAGGTTTTGGGCCTCCCAAAACTCCAAAACCAGGTTCTTTCTGTCACTGCGGGTGCCCCCCGAGACCCACATGGGAGTGACAAAGCCCTCAGAATTGAGATTAGCCTCCCAAAAGCTCCTTCTGTCACTGCGCGTGCAACCCCCCCCCCCCCCCAGACCCACACGGAAGTGACAAAAAAACCTGAGAATTGAGGTTTTGGGCCTATCAAAGCTCCAAACCAGGTTCTTTCTGTCACCCCCCCCCCCCCCCCCAGAGAGTCCACTGGTCCCCCCCCCCCCCCCGACCCCCTGAATCTGTCACTGCGGGCGCCCCCCCCCCCCCCCCCCCTCCCCCGAACCACATGGCAGTGACAAAAACTGCGGGTGCCCCACCCCCCCCCCCTTCTGTCACTCGGGGATGCCCCCTTTACAATAGGAATAAAAACACCTGAAGTTGAGTTTTGGGCCTCCCAAAGCTCCAATTCGTCCACTCTGCGGGCCCCCCCCAACCCACTGAATCTGTCACTGCGGGCGCCCTCCCCCCCTCCCCGACATGGCAGTGACAAAAAGCCCTCAGACTTGAGATTTTAAGCCTCCCAAAGCTCCAAAACCGTGTCACTGCGGGTGCCCCCCCCCCTTTCTGTCACTGCGGATGCCCCCCCCGCCCACATGGAACCCTCAGAAATTGAGATTTTAGCCTCCCAAACCTCCAAAACTCACGTTTCTTTTCTGTCCACTGCGGGGTCCCCCCCCCCCCCCCCCCCGACGACCCACATGGGGTGACAAAAAACACCTGAGAATTGAGGTTTTTGGGCCTCCAAACTCCAAACCAGGTTCTTCTGTCACTGCGGTGCCCCCCCCCCCCCCCCCGACACCCCCTGGGATTGTACCAAAGCCCTCGAATTGGATTTTTAGCCTCCCAAACCTCCAAAACCAGGTTCCTTCTGAGTGACAAAAAAACCTGAGAATTGAGGTTTTGGGCCTCCCAAAACTCCAAAACCAGGTTCTTTCTGTCACTGCGGGTGCCCCCCCACCCCCCCGAGACCCACATGGGAGTGACAAAGCCCTCAGAATTGAGATTTTAAATTGAAGCTCTTGGCCTGAATTGAAGCTCTTGGCCTCATTTGGGACTGAATTGAAGCTCTTGGCCTCATTTGGGACTGAATTGAAGCTCTTGGCCTCATTTGGGACTGAATTGAAGCTCTTGGCCTCATTTGGGACTGATTTGGGACTGAATTGAAGCTCTTGGCCTCATTTGGGACTGAATTGGGACTGAATTGAAGCTCTTGGCCTCATTTGGGACTGAATTGGGACTGAATTGAAGCTCTTGTGCCTCACTCGAAGCTCTATCGCTCTATCGTGCCAACCCTAAACCACTATCATTGTCAAAGAAACCCTTGTCATTGTAAAAACGTTTTTGTCATGGTTAGAACCCCTACTCTCGCTTTAGGGTTCTGGTTCTAGGGCTCTTTGAATGTGGATTGTGGCTCAAGTCTTCATCTTGTGAAGCTGCGGCATGGATGGGCATGCACAGCGGGGGCCAGCGCCAGACGCAAGCACGTACCATGTACCCGAATCCGAACCGTCAACGCCAACTCCAAGTCAATTGCCAGTCCACGCCCTCCCCTCCCTCCGAATTCGAAGACAACAATCTTCCATAGGCACGCAAGGCCCGACCCAAGGGCCCTTGATTGCGGAGACGCCATCTGCTCACATAGCCAAGGAAAAATCAGTCAGGGATCCCGATCATGCTGTAAGGAATAGTTTCAGGCATGTTGGAGCCTCTGCGTAAACCCTCTAAGCCCTCTAAAGGCTCCAGACCCTCTAAAGCCTCCAAAAACCCTGCAGTCCATCAGCAACCCAAAGCTGGCTCCTAAGATCAAGTGTCCCAGCGACTCCTGCCAAACATTAGAGATGGCTCCTAAGAATAAGTTCCCCAATGACTGTAACCCCCCCCCCCCCCCCCCCCCCAAAAAAAAAAAAAAAACAACCAAACCCTCGACCCCCTAAATGCCCTAACCCTCACCCTAAGCCCCATAACCCTCTGCAAACCCATATTTCACCAGAGGGGCTGGTAGGGGAGGCCGGTCAGCAACGCAGAGCCCGGCCTGAAGCGGGATGGGGCTTCCTGCTCCTGTAGAGTTTGATGAGTTTCGGGTCCAGTGTTGGGGTCTAGGGTTTAGGATTTAGGATTTAGGGTTTAGGGTTTAGGGCTTGGGGTTTCCCAAGCCCTAAGCCCCTAACACTCCAAACCTCAAACCGTGAAACCTACACAACTTGCGGCTCTGTAAGGGACCGACGAGGAAGAGCCATGAAGGTGCCTCGAGAGGCAAGGAAACTGCCCCATGAACCGGGCTTTAGGGTTTAGGGTGTAGGGTTTAGGGTTTGGAGTCTCGGGTTTGGAGGCCAGGGCTCGGTGTCTAGAGTTGGGTCTAGGATTAGGAGTTTAGGGTTGAGGGCGCCTAGGGCACCAGGACGTACCCTCTTGTTTTTGGCGGCCCCCCCGCAAGTCAGAAAGCCCGCACACAAGCTCCGACCTCAACCTCAGAGCCTTGCCTCTCCTAAACCCTATAAACCCGACAAACCCCTTCAAAAAAACAAGAAACAAAAAAGTGAAACTCCATAAGCCCCATAAACCACATAGTTCATGCCCTCAGGCCCCAGAACTTGAAGACGCGCTCCGGCTTTGGATCCACAGGTCTGTGTGGGTTTTTGGGGGAGGGGGGGGGGGCGGGGGTGTTTCGGATTTAGGGTGAACAAGTCGGCCCCTCGGGCCCGTTCTACTAAGCCTTAAACCCTAAACCCTAAAAAATGGTTCAGGGTGTATACAGGGTTTAGGGTCTGTAGTGAGTGACTTTTAGAGTGAAAATATAAGACTGATGATGCAAGTAGCCCAGACCACGAGGAACGGAGAGCTAACGTTTCGGGCCTTGCGCGGTTCACAGGCCTCCAAACAAAGGCCCAGGCCTCTAAACTTTAAACCTTAAACCTCTTAGCTGCCCAAACCCTAGAACCCTAGAACCCAGCATGACCGTAGTAGTCGAACAGAAATTCCGGCAACGTTTGTTCGATGTTGGAAGCAAAGCAAGACTAAAAGAACTGAACAAGTCAAAAAACATAGAAGTTGATAAACAGATGAACGAAGCTTTGATTTCTTGAAAATGCGCAACCGGGGGAGTTCCGTATCTACACGGCTGGCCCCCCCTGCCGCAGGACCCCACTAGAGCCCCAGAACTCCAAAACCTAACCACCACATCCGAGAAGCCATTGGCTTGTTGACTCCAAGGGCCCGGCGCAAACCCGGGCGAGGCCGCTTGGAAGGCACAAGCCTGCAAATTGCAGGGTCTAGGGTTTAGGGCTTATAGGGATGTCTATAGGGTTTTAGGGTTTAGGGCTTATATGTCAAAGGCCTGGGTTTTAGGTTCAGGTTTTGGGCTGATAGGGTCTAATAAGGGTTCAAGGGTTCTGAGATTGCGAGCTGAGGGTTTAGACATGTGTACAGTCTATGAGCTAGGGTGCTTACTACTGTTTGGGATTGGCTGGTCGCAGGCGTCCGAGCGCAGGTTCTAGTTCGTTGGGCGCCGAGTTTCCCTCCAAGCTGAAAAGGCCATAGACACCACCATTGGACTAGCAATTTCTTAGAAAACATGGGGTTTAGGGTTTAGGGTTTGCGGTTTTGGGGCTGTAAAAAAGCATTCTCCAGTCCTCTGCAGTCGAAGCCTTCGGTGCATTCCTTTTAGACATCTCTTTGCACTGGGTGATTCACGAATCACAATGCATGGCAGGGTGGGTTTTCATCCTCCCTCTGACAGGCCCCGACAATGGGCATGATAAGGCTGGTGCTGCATCACGCTGAGGTCTTTGGGCTTCACGCGAAAAGTCCGCAGAAACCTACCCTGAAGCCTAAGCCCTAACCCAAAAAGTATACCTTCAGCCCTCCCACAAACCCTCACCCCCACAGCCTTAAAAGCTTGAACAGATCTCTGCTGGATTATCTGGGGAACCACTTCACTCCCTAAGTCCCTCTGAGAACGTGTATGAGCCCTACATCCCCCCAGACCCGGAATTCGATCCTGAAATGTTAAACAAACACTCTGTGCCCTGTATAAATCCCAAGCTCCAAACCCTAAACCCTAAACCCACTTCGGTGCCTGTCCAGGGCCTCCCGCGGAGATGACCTGCCGCGTCCACGGACGTGGTTTGGGATGTTGAAGGTTAAGGGTTTTAAGGTTTAAGGTTTAGGGTCTAAGGGTGCAAGTTTAGGGTGTAGGGTCCCTGAGCCCCAAACCCCACAAACCCGAGGCGGTTTTGAGCCGCCTGGCAGCCGTGGCGAGTGCGGAGGTTGGGGTTCGATGTTGTTCAGGGTCTAGGGCTGCTGTGACATGTTGCTCCTCATAAGTGTCCTACGTAGTGTGCCTGGTCGCTCTAAAAGAAAGGACTTTATGCAGCAGAAGGTTTGCACGAACCCATGTAAGAAGAAGTCGTCCGCGAGCTCTTTCCCCACGAAGACGCCAGGTATATCTACTGTTTGTTTGCTTAAGAACCCCCCCCCCGGCATAAACAGATAACAATCCCTATGTTGCCCTCATAAGGCAGTTTCAGGAAGGATATGCTTTCTTTTTTTTTTTTGGAGAGGGGGTTCTTGAGCTCATAGTAGTCCTGCAGTGCAAACGTACCCGGAGGAAGTAGGATGCTGCAGTGGAGAGCTGACCGATGCATTCCGAGTCTCACTCGACTGCAAGTGCTGTGGCAGCAAGATCTGGTGGAATAGCTACCTTCTGCCTCTAGTGGGAACCACGATGGGCTATTGGGCCCTATGGCCCATTTCTGCTGGGTTGCAGGGTGCAGAATAGTCCATCCTGGAACCCACAGCGCTCTTTGTGAAGCGCATCCGCAAGGAGAGCCGCAAAGCAGGGGGAGGCCACCTCGAGCAGTCGAGGGAAGGACCTCAGGTGCGCCAGGGGGGGGGGGGTCTCCAAAAATAGGGGAAATGCTATCATGCCATAATCTCATTCCTAAAGGAACACACCCAAAAGGGCACAACCCTTGTTTGGAAACCCGGAACATGCCTCCGGTTGCGGAATTACGGCAGGCGGTGGGTGTCTTCCAGCTCCCATCTTGTGGATTGCAGGTGATCTGGTTCGTTAAGGGTGAGCTTAGATCTCGGGTGTCATTACTGCGGCGGGCGTGGTGGGGGTTGGGTTGGGGTTTAGGTGGGCTTAGGGTTTTAGCTTATTCTCTCTGCCGCAGCTTAGGACTGATGTACCGTCGGACGGCTTCATCTGCAAGACCTCAAGCCCGACCATACTACCCGGCCGCCCCTGGTTTGCCGGGTGGCTCTCGCGGGGACAGCGGGGGCGTCCGCGCGAAAGGGTCATTCATCGGCAAAGGCTGCATCCTGTCAGGTTCAGGGATGCGGGGCTTGGGCCGGCCGTTGTGAACTGGGCCGGCTTTTGTGAGCTGCATGCGATCGCGGTCTGCTAGTCATTACGCACATGAACGCTAGTCACATACGCTGTTTCTTCCAGCTTCGAAAGGTGACAGCTCGATGTCATGACAAAGCTTTTGACAGGTACTTCGCGAGTTTTTTGAGCATCCATACACAGAAGATTTATGTGGGAAACTCTGAAGAGAAGCCAGTGTCAATGCAGTACCGTCACGGTACCTTGGACAATCCTGACATGGTGAAGCAAGAGCTCCCATGGCCGAACACCTAACTGAGCATCTCCTTCACAACTGAGGCCTCTCGCTCCCCCGAAGCCCCAAAGCCCTAAATTGGAACCCCAAACCCTGAAATCCCGAACCCTACACCCTCAACCCGAAGCCCCAAAACCCTAAATTTGAACCCCAAACCCTAAACCAACCCTAAAGGCCCTAAACCCTCAACCCTAAACTCCCTGAACCCCAAGACCCCAAACCCTATTCCCTGCCCTCGGTGCCCGGGCTCGGGCACACAATGCTGAGCTGGGCTGGCCTGGGAAACCAGGGCCCGGAAGCCAGCCGCGTGTCGAATGCAAGAATGCATACATGGTGAGTTCCCCAAATTAGTTTAGGGTTTAGGGTTTAGGGTTTGTCCCTTTTGGGGTGGGGTTAGGCGACCCATAATATCTAGGGCCATCATTTTGAGAACCGACCATAATTGTGCTGAGAGAAGCGGCAAGCTTACATAACATGTAGCTACAGCAGGCATCTTGGGCAGCTTGATGTTACAACTATACAGGGCTTTGCGTTGGCAATCATTTAAGGGCCGAAGCCCTGAAGCACTGTAGTGCGCCAAAAAAGAGGGCCTACAATCAAACCTGGTACATCCCGGGCGTCGCGCGTTCGCAGCCCATGCTGCCGCATGGGGCGGCCTGAGTCGTATGGCAGTCATGGGGGGGCGGAGGGTTGTGGGTTTCGGGTTTAGGGTAACCCTACTCCCTCATCCCCAAACCTAGGGTTTAGCGTAACCCTAAACCCTCAAGACAGAAAGTAAATAATGGAAACAGAAAGTAAATAATGGAAACCCAAGCAACATGTGGGCCCAGAACGTAGACCAACCTCTACCCCACACAAGGATTCTAATTACTAAGATCCCCCAAAAACTGTTTAGGGCTTAGGGTTTAAGTTTAGGGTGCTTAGTTTAGGTTTAGGGTGCCCCACATAAACGCTCCACAACCATTGATAAGCTATAATTAGACACTCACTGAGCACAGCATTGCAACCCTACCTCGTATCAGGGGGTGGCGGGCGCGGGTTTCGGCTGTTCGTCAAAAACACGAGCGCGTGGAAGTAGTGCACATCGAACAGGTTGTTAGGGTTTGAAGGTTTAGGATCCGCGTGCGATCAGATTCTACAAACTCAACCTAAACATAATGATATGCTCCATTTAGAACCATAACAAACAAATAGTCTAAGATTCCTTATGTACATACACAAAGACGGACTACAGTAACTACAGTAACTTCTATCTAACTCTCAGCCGCACGCCCCAGCCCTACAAAGCCACGGCCGGAAATCCCAGCACCATCCAAGCCGCTGCCCGAAAACGTTTGCACGTGGTGGTGTGCCGTACCTCAGCTGACAATAGCATATTTGAACCTCTAACACAGCCCATACGGCATGCGACCAATCATGAACTTCCTCAATATGCAGCTGTAGAGCAGCGCATAATCCGAGGGAAACGGGGCCGCGGTGTACTGGGCCGACATGTAGCCCGGCACAAGGCCGGCAGCGTAGCCTTGTGAGGTCTTCTGAGCTTAGGGTTGCAGATTGCATAAGACAGTTCTCGCAATTTAGGTTCCCTTTTTGAAGAGTAGGAGCCCGAGAAGAAAAGGGGGGGGGGGGGGGGGGGGGGGAGGGGAAGGGGGAGTAAGGCTTCGCAAGACTTAGCAACAGTTAAGAACATCCCGTGGAGAGCAACAGGGAAAAAACAAAAAGCAATTCAGCTACTTTTGAAATTGCAAGCAAGCAATAATAGTTTGTAACTCATGTATAGTTTAATTTCATGACAGCTTGAAACATCCTGGAACCTGCAGCAAGCAATAACCTCACAACCTCTGCACTGGGACATCTTACCTCCATAGCTCCAAGGAGCCGTGCAAGGGGCGAGGGTCCACTGGAAACGGCTGCGATGGCTTCTGCATGCGCTGTGGGTCCTGGGCTTCTGGATCAGCGTGCCGGGGTGTGGGCCGTGGCTGGGTTTAGGTTCGCAATATTGGGGCCCACCTTCTGCGGTTGAATTAGCAGGCCGTGATTTGGCAGCGTTCGGAGTCTAGATGCTAATTGAGGATCCAGAATGTCGCGACCTCTATGGGACGGGGCTCTCTAGGCCCTGCAGCCCTTACCTCCCCAAGGCTACATCCAAAATCCAAAACCCCAAGCCTCCCAACAAAAAGGCCCGCAGCTGAACACATTGAATTAGCGGCAGGCACCCAGTCTTAGTTCTTAGTTCTTAGTTCGTCAGGCTTGACATCTCTGATCCCGATGCAGCACACAAAACGGACTGTCGGCCACCGTGGGTCCTCGGTTGTGCTTCTCCTCACCTCGCACGGCAAGATATCAACAGCTCGGAGCATCCCGGATGGCCTGACTCACCTTACAACTTGAAGACGCTAGTCTGCACCTCTTTCTCCCCTAATCATGGTCCTCTCCTTGCTGTTGCTTGAACGCGCAGGCTGAATCATGGCGGAGTTAGGAGCTCAAGTCCAAGGTCCTACGTGTGACATGAGATCACGGGCAGGATCGACAGATAGCTATAGGTGTGTATGTACGTATGTGTATCGATGTACGACAGACGTACATATAAGTCTGTAAATGCAGAGGTGCCTGCAGATGGGGGTGTGCACATGGGTATACGGTAGACATACAGGTATGCCTGTATACCTGGACTCCCACTCCGCTCTGAGAGCCCCTCCCACAGCAAACACACGAAACTTTGCGATTGGCAGGTTTTGCACTTTGCTCAACAAACGCTTTTTTTCACAAATACACACACACACACACACGCATACATACAAACAAGCACATATAAACAGGCATGTGCATATACATACGTACCTACATACATACATACATACATACATACATGTATACATGTGTCTATATACATATATAGTTACACATCCAGTCTGTTGATTATAGTGTGCATATATAGATATGTGAATACAAGCTTACATATTGTTTCAGACTACATTCTTTATTCCGACCGTCGTTGGGGCCTTGACGAACCCTAGCAATACCGCGAACACGCAGCCAGCCTGCGAGGGCTGCAGTGCCGTACCCCTGTGGGAGCCTTGCTGTGTAGGGGCTTGGGGCTTAGGGTTCATAGGGTTTACACGATTCACAGAGGTTTGGGGGTTTAGGGTTAGGGTCTGCTGTGGGGCACTGTTTAAGGGCCAGTGAGAGGATTCGAAAGCCTGCGGCTGGTGTCCAAAGGGCTGCACAGCTCTGTGCCATACCAGGGTTTACAGTTCATCTAGGATCTGCGCCTTCATCCCCCTCAACACCGACATTTCTACCCCCTAAACTCGGCCCAAACCACGAAATGAGCACGTCGCCCCGGCAAGATCTGGGCCAAGACCCTACCGAAACCCCAAAGTCTTCAAACCCTGGCGGCCCTGAAACTATGACACCCTCAAACCTGGAAAACCCTCGAAGCGCTGAAATCCTGAAACCCTAAGCAACCAAACAAAGACAGCGAGCAGGAGTCCCCAAGGCCGTAAAAGCCCTTGAGCTCTGAAACTTTGATCAACTCCAAAACCCCGAGCAACAACCCCCAACAGCGTAACAAAAACCCTCAAACCCTAAACCCATAAACCCTAATATTTAAAACCTTAACCCCAAACTAAAACCCTGAAACCCTAAACCCTAAAACCCTCTAAACCCCTCTAAGACACCTAAAACCCGTAAACCCTAAAACCCTCCAAAACCCTCTAAAACCCTCTAAAACCCTCTAAACCCCTCTAACACCCTCTAAAACCCTCTAAACCCTCTAAAACCCTCTAAAACCCTCTAAAACCCTAAAACCCCTAAACCCTAAACTCTGCTTGTGGGAGACCGTGGATCGGCTTCATGGGCGCCGGCTTGAAGTGGGCTCGGAAGCCTAAAGGTTGGTGCTTGGGGGGCTATGGTCTATAGGGTTTGGGGTTTAGGGTTTGGAGTGTGGGGTTTAGGGCTTGGGGTTTGGGGTTTAGGCTTTGGGGTTCGGCTTTGGGGTTTAGGCTTTGAGGTTTAGGCTTTGGGGTTCGGCTTTGGGGTTTAGGCTTTGGGGATTAGGGTGTGGGGTTTAGGGGTTTAGTTGAAGGGTTTGAAGGGTTTATGTCATAGACGTTGTGGGAGGCACACCGCAGTGCAAGAAGATTGGAGGGCTGCGAGGACGTCTCGGGGTTGTCATAGACGTCTACCAGGCTGGGATAATCCCCTAACGGTGGCTGGCCCCTTTTGTAGAGCTATATGACTCACTAATATCCCATCCTTCTGACATCCTCTGAGTAGGCCACCAACGTACCTAATCAAATTGGGTGTCACGAGTCAATCAAGTGCATCGAGCTCGGCGGACCTAAGCCCCACCTCTCTGAAGACTGGAGGCCCCCCAGCCCTTGCAAAACAAAGAGCAACAACACACCCGAAATCCTACAGTGTCCTACACCCTAAACACCCGAAACCCTATGTAGACCCTTGAAAAGCCCTAATCATAAGAACCCTATACATACATATACATATATATATATATATAAGATGGGTGGTTGTCAAGATTATTGTCTTTTTTGGATCCCTAGTATCATACGGCACCCTAATTTATTAGTAATTTTGACAGCCGCCCATAAATATACATATATATATATATATCCCTAAACCCTAAACCCTAAACCCTAAACCCGAAACCCTGTAAACCCAAAACTGCACACAGCGCCACGCCTTCAGGACATCGAGGAAGCCTCGGCTCCTTCGGCTGTGGGAAAAGCCTCGACAGGGTAGGGTTTAGGGTTTAGGGTTTAGGGTTTAGGGTTTAGGGTTTAGGGTTTAGGGTTTAGGGTTTAGGGTTTAGGGTTTAGGGTCCGAGGCAGATATTTGGAGGGGGTCTAGGGACTTGAATGGGGTTAAGGGTTTAGGGGGTTTAAGGGCTTTAGGGGTTTTGAGGGTTTTAAAGGTTTAAGGGTTTGAGGGTTTGGAAGGTTCAGGGGTTTAAGGGTTTAGGGGTTTTGCGGCTTGAGGGTTTCAGGGTTCCAGGGCGTTGGGGTCTTGGGGTCTTTTGTAGGGCCACAAGTTGGCAACTTTGGTTCCTAACTGGTCACAACCTATTTTAGGGTACGTATAACCCCACGTAGTACACATGAACCTCCGAGTAGGTCTAAAGCCTTGCGTGCAAGGTTAAGGGTCACCCGGTTTAGGGCTCAGGCTGGCTTACGGCTCAAGGGATTGCAGGCTTACTGTTACCAGGAACCTACTCCACCTAACAGAACTCATCACCTGGCTTTTAACAAGCTTGAGAGTGGCTGGGGACTTAAAGAATCCATGCAGCACAACCAGGGTTTAAGGTTTATGGTTGAAGGTTTAGGGTTTAAGGTTTATGGTTGAGGGTTTAGGGGTTGGAAGCCACTCTGGGCTGGGAATGGCCCATTCCCCGAATCTTCGGCTTAGCCTGTCAGATGTGCTACAGAGCTTATTATGGGGCTCTAGCCGTATACCAGAAACCTTATAAAGCCTACACCCTAAACCCTAAACCCTAAACCCTAAACCCTGCAGAACCCCTGGCTTGCCTCGCGTCGCACTGTTCTGGCAGAGGCTGGCCCGCCGGCTCCGCCGGGGCCTGCGCGGGCCATGACCCTACTGGATCGTAGTAGGGAATGAGTTGGTTCGGGTTTAGGGTTTAGGGTTTAGGGTTCAGGGTTCAGGGTTTAGGGTTTAGGGTTTAGGGTTTAGGGTTTTGGGTTTAGGGTCTAGGGTCTAGGGTTTAGGGTTTAGGGTATGCCCCGATATCCGTTGAAGGGGTTGACCCCTTTCACACTACTAATATGAACTGGAGGGGTCAAGGTGGGTTGTTCAAACGTGGGTTTTTGGCTGACTTCAGCTGCCTTCTACACACTCCAGAAAACGTTCGCAATGCTCCTTCAGCAAACATATACACTGTGAACCGTTGCTTCGAGGTTTGCTCAGCTCTCCGGAATCACGTGAGTGGAGCTTCAGATGCAGGGCTAAATATTGAGGCCTTGAGGATAAGCGGCTGAACCCCTGCAGCTTTGCTTTTAGGCCAGGGTCACCTGCAACGTCCTGGTACCTAAACTTTCAGTGTCTCCGCGCAGGCAATTGCTGGGCGTAAACTAGGAAATAGCGCACGCCCTAAACCCAGCACCCTACCTGTATCAGGAAGACAACTGGGTCTATTCTGCCAAGGGTCCTCGGATAAGATCAGATAAGAGGGTCCGGTTTTCAAGTGTGTGGTAGACGAAACCATGACAAGCGATGCAAGCAAACATGAATTTTACAAGCTGAGAGCACATAAGCATCAGTAACCCAGAGGGTTGTTCAGGAGTTGGGGAACCACATGGAACCACACACAACGCTGAACAGGTTTTGAGTAGCCAAAACCGACACGAATCCTACATCTGGACCCCCTAAACCCTAACCCTAAACCCTAAACCCTAAACACCAAGCCCTAAACCCTAAACCTTCTGGGTAAGGGCCGAACCTCATTCACCACCAGGCCCTCGCGAGCCACGGCAGCGATATCCTCCAGCGGCCGGAGGAAGAGATCCCCAAAGTCCTGGAGGTTGCGAGGCCTCGGAGTAGACAGGGTTTAGGGTTTAGGGTTTAGGGTTTAGGGTTTAGGGTTTAATTAGGGAATTCAAGTTGAGAGTTTGAGGATGTTTGAGGATTTGGGTTGCAAAGAGATCCTGGGTTGAGGGGGTGGCTCTTTTGGGGCCTGGGGTTTCTGGGATTTAGGGTTTCGGGCTCACAGATTGGGAGCTCAAGTTTTTGGGTCGTCTTTCGGACGTCTTACAACTGAGAGGCTTCCGGGACGGTTTCAATGTGCACACCCCCCCCCCATCCGAGACCCCGTGCAAAGATGCTGTTGCGGGTCGAGCGTTTGTTGGGGTGGTTTTGCCGCAACGAAAGCTACCCGACGACATCCAACTGCTGAGCTCCTGACCCGAGGACGGCCCTTAAAACCCTCTGAAAATGTTCCGTAAAAATGGTCCACTTAAACCCAATAAGTGGAATATGAAACATGGGCTTACTTAGCAAAGGAGCCTTCTGCCCCAAAACACCTTAAGTCATGCCAGGGATCTCAATTGGATTCGGAGAGCCTACCTAAACCCGAAACTCCAAACTTTGCAACCCTGTACGCCCAAAAATCTGGTAAAAAGGTCCAAGAATGCACCTTGCCTGAACTTTAAACCCCAAACCCTACACCTCTAAAAGCCCGTGGGATCACCCTAAACCCTAAACCCTAAACCCTAAACCCTAAACCCTAAACCCTAAACCCTAAACCCTAAACCCTAAACCCTAAACCCACTGCATCGACACAGGCTGCGGCTTCCCATCTGCTGAAAAGCGCTCCGGTGCCACCCGGTAGAGACCCAACAGATCCTGGGCTTCATAGTCGGAGGGTTTAGGGTTTAGGGTTTAGGGTTTAGGGTTTAGGGTTTAGGGTTTAGGGTTTAGGGTTTAGGGTTTAGGGTTTAGGGTTTAGGGTTTAGGGTTTTACTGAGTTTTTAGAAAGGTGTAGTGGGGGTAGGGGCGTTTAGGGCCTTAGGGCTTTTAGAGCTTGTAGGGTTTCTGTAGGGCTGTATAGTTTATTGGCTTCGGGTGTTTTTTGGGTCTGGAGCTGTTGGAAAGGATCTACCAGCAACAGGCCGGGGACAACAGAAACGAAGCCCCGAAAAGTCTGGATGCCAAGAGAACAAGCTGTCTTAGGGTTGTTTACTGAGCTGGGAAAAGCGAAACCCTAAATCCCTAAACCCCAAACCTATGGACCCCAACGCCTTTAACCCTCTCAACCCTCTCAACCCTCTCAACCCTATCAACCCCATCACCACAACGGCCCCCCGAAGCACCCAAGCTCCAAGCCCTAAATCCTAAACCCTAAACCCTAAACCCTGAACCCTAAACCCTAAACCCTAAACCCTGAACCCTAAGCAGACGCGGCCCAAGTCTCCACACCCGAGTCGAGGACGAAGTTCAGGTCCAAGTCGGCCTCCGGAGCTTTTCAGGACTCATGGGGTTTAGGGGGTATTTAGGGTTTAGGGGTTTATGGGGCTTAGGGGGTTTAGGAGGGATGGTTTAGGGCTTAGGGGTTTATGGGGTTTAGGGGGGATAAAGGGTTTAGGGCTTAGGGGTTTGTGGGGTTAAGGGGGTATATAGGGTGCAGGGCTTAGGGGTTTATGAGGTTTAGGGGGTATATAGGGTTTAGGGCTTAGGGGTTTATGGGGTTTAGGGGGGATATAAGGTTTAGGGTTTAGGGGTTTATGGGGTTTCGGGATTTGTGGGGTTTTTTAGGGTTACCAGTCGACGAACTAAGAAGCCGTGAACAGAACGCACATGCAAACAAAAACGCGGGACCCCACAGCGTACCTTTCTGAACATAACGAGGAGTCAGGGTATAAGTGAGCATCCTAGGTAGCAGCTGCATCTAGGGTTTGGGGCTTAGTGGCCCAACGGCCCCCAAGCGACGGGCAACAAGGAAACTTTCGTGGATTTCTTGGGACGCTAAAATACGCTAAACCCTGAAAAACCATAAGCCCTAAACCCTAAAAAACCCTAAGCAACGCTGAAAAACCCTAAGCCCTAAGCCCTAAGCCGTAAACCCTAAGCCCGAAGCCCTAAGCCCTAAATAAACCCTAAGCCCTATAAGCCCTAAGCCCTAAGCCCTAAACCCTAACCCCCCCAAGCCCCAAAACCCTGAAGGGTCGTGCGTGTCGTCGCCCACCTCAAGGTCGGGTTGGGCCTCATCCGTCCCTGGCAAACGACTGGGAGGATGCGTTTGCCCGGGGCCTACGGAGGTTAGGGCTTTAGGCTTTGCACCTATGGGCTTATGGAGTGTAGGGTTTTAAGGGCTTGGACCTATGGGCTTTGGGAGCTTAGGGTTGTGGGGTTTAGGGCTCTGGGCTTATGGAGTTTAGGGTTTTTAGGGTTTAGACCTATGGGCATCTGGAGGTTAGGGTTCCAGGGTTTGGGGCTCTGGGCCTACGGAGGCTTGACGTTTCTCGGGTTTCGGGTTGTCGGCGATAGCTCGCCGTAAAGTAAGAACCCTAAACCGATGGCCCTAGATTCTGAAACTTTACAGCATGTTCCTTATGCCCTAAACCCTCCAACACCCCCCCCCCCCCCCCCCCTATGCAAGGCTAACAGTAACCCGAACCTGAAGACGGGTTTCCAAAGCCTGGGGTTTACAGGCTTTAGAGGGTTTATGTAGGGTTCACAGGGTCTATAGCGTTTATAGGGTTTACAGGCTTCAGAGGGTTTATGTGGGGTTTATAGGGCTAATTTACCCCACATGTGGAGTGTTAAGCGTCACCGGCCTCCCATCCAAACTGCCAGGTCTCCCAGAACTTTGCTGTTGTCGGCCTGCGCCGGATTGCGGTACAATCTCAGGCGAGTCTGGGAATTGCGGTTGGTCCAGTGATGCTTCATGGGCATGTTGCTGAATCGAGTCGAAACGGCTCCCATTGAGGCTTCCGGGCTGCTCACTAACTACTTGGAACTGCTTCAGCAGGGCCCTATCCCTCAGCTTGCTCGCCCGTGCGCCCGCCACACTTCTACAGCTACACGGCCCTCAAGGCATGCAAAAACTATGTTTCTTCAGCCCCTTCGTCCCCTGCAGCCCAACAAACTGTCCTGAATCCCGACTGGCACCCGAAACTCATCCGAAGCCAACAAACATCAGAAGCCGAAACAATGTCAGCCCACGAATGCTGTGGCACGCTGTGGTCGTTACAAAGCTGTGAAACCCCGGAGAGAGAGAGAGAGAGAGAGAGGTGAAGAAAGAGCGAGAGCGAGAGCCTTCACCGCTCCAAAACCCTAAATTCTCAGCAATCCACAAGCACTTAAGCCCACGCAAACTCGGACCCCCTGAGTCCTAAGTCCTCAACCCAATAAAACCTAAATCCTAAACCCTGAGCCCCTTGAGTCCTAAAACCTAAGCCCTGAAAGAAATCACGTGCTCTTTGGAGCAATCGGAGGCTGCCTGGCCCATTGGAGAGTCGGGGCCTAGCCCCGCCTGATCCCGCAAGAATTGGACGGCCTGTCAAGGGCGGGCTTGGGGTTTAGGTGTAAGCATCCTACATAGGGTCCTCTCAAAACCAACAAGGGAAAAATGTAACACATCCCAGTTACCTTGAAAACTCTAGATAAAACAAAAAACAGGTTCCAGTAAGTGCCCCAAATTCAGGGTTAGGTTCGGTCTGCTGTCGGGGGGCGATGTGGGTGGGTGAGACTGTGGGCTTCTCCGGCCCTCGTCGAAGAGGGGCTTTGGGCTCAGGACCCTAAACCCAAAACTGTACGGCTCCCCCCGTCCTCGCGCAGCGTGTTCTTTGCCGCCCGGGAGAAGGACCACTGATCCGCGCAGGATACATCCTGACCTCGCAGCTCATCTGCCAGGATCAGGCTTGTAGCAGCTATTTACGGCAGATAAGAGCCTAAGGAATCACATTTCTACACAGGCTATACATGGCTCTACACCAAGCACCGGCTTCCTTATCATACTGAGCACAGTTAAGGGATGCATAGCTTCAAAGAAAGTGCTTGTAACCCCACATGGGGCCCTGACACCTCGACTTGAAACAAGGGGTGCCCTCCTTGTATGTCCTTAAACCTAAGCCCTCAACCCTAGATTGCCCAAAAATGCCATACCCTAAACCAGGATTTAGCAAGCCCCTGACGCCCATAGACCCTCAGACCCCGCTCGATGGGGCTCAGGGTCTCGGGACGAGCGTTTGCAAGCCATAGAACAATCAAGCCCTGCCTTGCCTAGTACAGCCATAACCACTACGAAGCCTGCCCGTTTAGGGTTTAGGGTTTAGGGTTTAGGGTTATTAAGGGTGCGTGGCTTAGGATTTTCCATGAAATCAACCCCACAAAAACCCTAAACCCATGGGCTGGCACCTCTGAGGCCAGCGTATAAGCACCCGTTTAGGGTTTAGGGTTTAGGGTTCAGGGTTTAGGGTTTAGGGTTAGGGTTTAGGGTTTAGGGTTCAGAAGTACCCTGGAACAGGGTAAAGGTACCCTAAACAATGTGCAAGTACAAACCGTAAGCCCTAAACTCTCAGCCCTCATCCCTAGCCCTAAACCCGAAACCCTAAGCCCTAAATCCTAAGAACCCCAGGCCGGATTGGAACTGGGCTTCTGGGCAGAAGCCTGCCAGGCTCAGGGAGGCCGTGTGGAGCCCTGGGCTTCTCCAAAACTCGGGTTTCGTGTTTCGGGCTTGGGCAACATGTGTCCTAAACCCCTAGACCCCTAGACCCCTAAACCCCTAAACCCCTAAACCCCTAAACCCCTAAACCCCTAAACCCCTAAACCCCTAAACCCCTAAATTCCTAAACCCCTAAACCCCTAAACCCCTAAACCCTAGTTAGGGTAGGGAGGCATGTGGCCTAAGGGCTACAAGGCTTTCGGGTTCAACGTTTATCATTAGGGTCTAGCCCTAAACCCTAAAACCCCGAAGCTTGAAGGTTCCGGGCGTTGCTTCGGCTCCAGTGGAGAACCAACTGTGGCTTCCGAGTTTCAGAGTTCAAGGTTTAGGAGTCTAGGTTTGAGGTGTGAGGCTTTCTACTTATCTGGTGTGCCTTCCGCTGGCTTTTCAGCAAGAAAGGTTAAAACCTTAAAGCATATAGGCCTTAAACCCAACAGAATGGGCCCTTCAACTAGGCTTCTGTTGTTGAAAATAGACGCGCTAAACCATATCTCATACGGCCATTCCTTATTGTAGAGGTTGGGGCAAAGTTATTACATGACTCATCCTAAGCCCTAAACCCTCAACCATCGCCCTAAGATCGGGTTGGGCTAGGTCGAGGCTGTCTGCGTCGGAGGCGCTCGCCAGCGGAAGAAAAGGTTCCATCTCCTCGGTTGGCGAGTGTAGGGTCCTAAACCCCAAGCCCTAAACCCTAAACCCTAAACCCTAAACCCTGAACCCCTAAGGTTTGGGGGTTCAGGGCTTGGGGTTTCCTTGAAAGGTTGGAGAGTCCGCAGCTGGCAGCGCTGCAGCAATGGTGTCTAATTCAGAGATTTTTGTAGGGTCCGCCAGTTAAAATCGTAAGATTCCAATTCTAATGATTTGTCTGAACACCCCAAAGAAACATGGACCAGCAAGGCACTGGGCATCCCGGAATCAGGGCTTCGTGTCTAGGGTTCGGGGTTTTCGGGTTTAGGGTTCGGGGTGTTTAGGGCTTGCCGTCAGTCCAGCCAAGTCTCTGGGACGCTGCTCAAGCACTCCAGTGCAGGGGGACTGCCATAGCTGTTGCCAGTCAGGGCGGTCAGTGAATCCCCACAGGCTGCCACGACCTGCACAAGGCCGCTAAATCTTGCATTGTCAAACAGCTCTCTTTATGACGGTTCCAGAAACACACCAATTAAAAGCCTAAACAAGTCGCATTAAAACATGCCACTCAAGGGTGCCACCAGACATCGAAACTGCCCGTCTTCTTTTGTAGACTCAATGGCTGATGATTACATGCTAGCATGTAGTCAACCACCCGCTCACTATAACCTGCGTGAAATGCTGCGCACATACACCACCCTTAAAAAAGTAGTCGGTCAAAGCCCGCTTGTGCTGTGGCAGATTCCCTTCGTCGCGGCGTGCTTCCCCCTATACTCGGCCCCGAAAAACTTTGAAACACCTGGGATTCGCCCAGAATATTTTCGAAAAGTCCACGCCTACTTCAGTTGCAGCTGAGAGAGGCTACCTCGATGCTCTACACTTGTTTGTGGACGAGCACAACTCGAAAACTTGGGACCCCAAACCCGAAGACCTCAACTCCTTCCTTAACCCCAAGCACAACCCCAAAACCCTAAAACAGCAACTCCTCAACCCAAAACCCTCAACCCTAAACCCTAACTAATCGCCCTAGTGATGGAGTGAGTCCATTCTGGGGGGCCTCCATCCACCGGTCTCCCAAGGCCAGGGTCACGGCGCGGGCCACGACCGTCTGGGGCGTGTCGATCTCTGGCGTGGCCCCGAAGACGAAGCCGAAGTCCACCCGGAAGAGGGAGCCGTCCTCCCTTCCATGTGCAAGGCCCCCCCGCACCTATGCATACATATATATATATATATGTAGAATTAATGAATTTACTTATGTTTTTAGTTACAACATTCTATATATGCACACATGCATAAACACATACATACATGAATACATGAATACATGAATACATCGATACATAAATACATAGATACATGTACGAATATACTGAATATACATACATGTATATGCATATTATATATATATATATATATGTGGCATGGACCTTTAGGGTCTATTTGGCACGCCCCTTTGTTTACTATTTACAAAACTTCTTGAAAGTAGTAGTGGTAGTAGTAGTAGTAGTAGAGTAGTAGGAGTAGGAGTAGTAGTAGTAGTAGTAGTAGTAGTAGTAGTAGTAGTAGTAGTAGTAGTAGTAGTAGTAGGTAGTAGGAGTAGTAGTAGTAGTAGTAGTAGTAGTAGTAGTAGTAGTAGTAGTAGTAGTAGTAGTAGTAGTAGTAGTAGTAGTAGCAGTAAATGTAGATCCAGCCGGCCAACAGCCAGACTTAGGCAAGCACCCTCGCTTCGTGTTTCCTGTGACTTGGTAGGGTCCAGAGGTTTGTCGTATGTCCCCTCCCTTCGTCCCTTCGTGTTGTAAGGGTTTTGTAAGGGCTTTGGAGGTTTGTGTGCTTCCCCTTTCTCGTTCTTATAGGTTTTGGGGGAGCATCAAAATGATTATCATATATGATGTGTTTCCGTGCTCGTATTATGAGGGCTAGTGCCTGCCCTAGAGGTTTGTCGTATGTCCCCCCGCTTCGTGTTCCTGTGATTTGGTAGGGGGCTAAAGGTTTGTCGTGTGTCCCCTCCCTTCGTCCCTTCGTGTTGTAAGGGTTTTGGGAGGGTCCTGGAGGTTTGTCGTATGTCCCCTTTGTTCGTGCTTGTAGGGTCTGGGGAGTGTGTAGATGATAATCACATATCATGTGCTTCCGTGCTCGTATTATGAGGGGCTAGTGATTGGCCTGGAGGTTTGTCAGATGACGCCCCCGCTTCGTGATCCTGTGATTTGGTAGGGGCCTAAAGGTTTGTAGTGTGTCGCCTCCCTTCATTCCTTCCTATTGTAAGGGTTCTGTGAGGGCCCTGGAGGTTTGTCGTATGTCCCCTTTCTTCTTGCTTGTAGGGTTTGGGGAGCATCTAGATGATAGAGGTTTGTCGTACGTCGTCTCCCTTCGTCCCTTCGTGTTGTAAGGGTTTTGTGAGGGCCCTGAAGGTCTAGGGCAGTTACTAGCGCCTCATAGTACGAGCACGGAAGCAAATGATAATGACAATCATCTAGACGCTGCCCAAATCCTACAAGCACGAAGAAAGGGACATACGGCAAATTTGCAGGGCCAAGAAGCTAGACTCCCTGACGCCCTAGTTCAACACCCGTCCTCCCAAATATCCCGCCAAAAAAATTAATTCATATTATAACATCATAATATGAACTAATCCGCCTCCTGCATTCTCATTTTCTCCATATGCTTATTCGTTTTCTTATGTTTCGCAAGATTACATTTCCGAACCTCGCAATCGCAAACATCACAGCGAACCACCAAAGAATTATACAATCTTTTTTCATCCCTGTGCTTCTCACGATATTCTTTATTCCGTAAAGCAATCTCCTCCTTGTTCCTCTCACGGTAATTTGACTTCCATTCATCAACCTTTGCCTTGTTCATTGTCCTATAATCTCGCATATATTCTATACACCGCCTACAAGACATATAACCCTCGTCAAAATGTTCAATGTTCCTATAACGCTTACACGTAGAACAAAATTTCCTTCCCTCTTCAATCTGCTCCATTCTCCTAATAGTACAAAGACACTTTCTCTTTAAACTAAAATCAGAAATTGAACAATACATAACAGTTATCCTATCAACCATTCTTACCAATTCTCCTATCAACCCAACCCCCCCAATACCAAAACCCCAAACCCCAATCTTCCCCAAACCCCATCTCCGCGAACCTAGGCGTGAACCTTATTTAATTTTCATAATTTAAATATTATGAAAACTAACTAATACATTCTATATCTATCTGGTAAGCCACGTAAAATTCTTTGTCTTAGCTTGTCCTTGTCGTTTCTGATATCTTCTGGAAGCTTTTGTAAAAACTCTTCATCTTCTGATAATAACTTTATCGCTCTCTCACGGCTTTTTATTATCATTTCTACGGCAAGGTAATGATTAGGTTTCAACACGTGTTCGTCATAAATTTCGGGTCTTATTCTAATGCCACAAGCTTCACAGTAGATTGTTCCGTTTGGTGAATACTTCTCACGCTTTTTACGGTTAATTTCTTCTCTGTATTTGTCACGATACACACTAGCATTTCCCCTTGCCCTTTCACGGCAGTTAATACAGGTTTTAAAGCCTTCAAATACATCTTTATCACACAGATTCTTGCATCTTTTACACATTTGCTTGTTCTCTTCCATTCTTAATATTATATGTCCTCATCTCTTTAAGCCTCCTTCGCCTCCTTCGCCTAAACCCCTCCTCCTTTGGGGGAAATTCCTTCCCCTCCTAGGGGAAATTCCTTCCCCTCCTAGGGGAAATTCCTTCCCCCCTTGGGGGAAATTCCTTCCCCTCCTAGGGGAAATTCCTTCCCCCCCTTGGGGGAAATTCCTTCCCCTGTTGGGGGAAGCTCTTAAAAACTCCTTTAAAATAGGCACATTTACAGGGGGTAAGGACTTTCCACCATTGGGGGAAATCTTCGGCATTCAAGCACACGAGCTGACAGAAAAAGGGCTCTCCTCTCGTCCAAAAATAACTGTTATAATAATAATTATAACAACCATTTCTATTCCTCAACCTTATTCGGCTTAATAACAGCCATATTCTCCATACTATATTTTTGGTTAGGAAGCATTTTAACTTGTGCTCCTCCCTTCGCTTCCTTAATCCTTTGCTTACTTAACCTTTTCCTTTCTCTTAATGCCGTTGCATAGTCAGGGTCTTGCATTCTCAACTTATAATACAACCTCTGATACAGCGCCATTTGCTCCCTAACTTCGTCCAGTGTCAAATCCTCGGGCTTCTTCATTGCAGTCATTTTATGCTTACTATATATAGGCGTTTTGTCTTTAAGTCATTTAACAAAGACCAACATAACCAAAATCAAAACAGGAGACTAAGGAGAAACCATTTAAAGAAATAATAACAATATATTTTAATCTAGATTACATTATGACTAGAAAGGCTATACGTGACAATATTAAACACCTAAATAACAAGAGACAACGATTAATAGAAACAAAAGCACCTAAAAACGTTATTACCAAAGTTAATCAAATTGTTGATTTATATGAGAACCGCCAACTTTCAATTTTCAAAACCGCCGAAAAACTCATCAACGAAATGACAACGGGAACTCAAAAAGAAAAAACAAGAGGCATTAAAAAAGCAGAAAAAGCCATAGAAAAGTTTGAATCAAAAGCCCCGTTATCGGAACGAATGAATAAAACAGCCGAAAAAGCTAGGGAAGGAAAGCAGATAAAAGTTTTAAGGCGCATTTTCGGGAAACAACCTTTGAGAAATGTTGTATCCAAAACAAAGGAACTTTTCAAAAATCGCAAAACGTATTCCATTAAATATATGCTTCTTTCAACACAGAACCGCTCAGGAAAAAAACGAGCCTTTGAAGTCAATGGCAGAAATTATTATCCGCTACTTAATCCAGCACAGAGAGAAGCGCAAGTAAAAGCAAACGACTTTATAGAGACCGTCATAAAACGGAGAGTAACAAAAGAATATGATAAATTCCTTTTTAAGCGCCTTATGTTAATATTAAGAACTGACCCAGAATTTAATGATATGGCGAAGGGTGATATGTATCAATACATAAATGCAATAAGAATTGAAAGTGCCAACGTCGCAGAAGGCGAAGCTCAACCGCCAGAAAATCAAAACTTACGAGATGCTACAAACATATCCATATATAACAAATATATAGAAACTGAGATTGACCCCAGCTACTCAACAATAAAAGAAGCACTCGCTAAAAAACATTACACCGAAAACGAATGTTGGATAAATTCTCTTCTAGACCATTACCCCGACCTTATGAGACACAAGAGGGGCTCCCTTTCCAAAACCTTAACCCGACAACATATGCTAGAACTTCTAAACACAACAGAAGAAGAGTTTAAAAACAAAGGTGCAACCACGACACAAATGGAAAACGTCTTCAAGACATTTAACATAACGGCGCGTCTTTTTGACTTTAACGGGAAGCTTATTTATTCCTTTGACCCACCCGACTACCATAAACACACGAAAGGCTTCTTCGGGCTCATCAAGAACAACCACGTCTACACCATAAACAGAGACCTGAAAAGCATCAAAAAAACAATGAATGAGAACACCCAAAACAACTTCAATCTGAAAATCAGTAGCAATTATTTTATAAGCGACAGAGAAGAGCCCCCTGAATGCCATATGATAGAGACAGCAAACGACCTTTTGAAATACACAGAAAAAGCAGAATATACATTAGTTCATAAAGATAATGACCTCGTAAAACTCTTCCACGAACTAAAAATGGCAGGTTACGAGCCCTTCATCAAATATCAAGCGGGAACGATGACAGAACTGAAAGTAAATTGGAAGATAAAAAGCAAAAAGCAAGAAATCACCTACACAATCAAGCTACAAAACTTATCAACGCACAGTATAGACGAAGACGTATCAGTAGAAAACGAAAATCTTTTCAACGATATGAATCGGGAAATGTTTAACTTCAACAAGAAAATCTTCAACGATGCCCACAAGTCATATTATAGCCAGACAGACATAGATATTTTAGATGAATGCCGAACCATAGTGCCAAGCGGATATTTCAAAAACAACTCCACAAACGAGACCGTAGAAATTGACAGAACAAAAGCTTTCACAAAAGCCTTTTCCAAAATTACACACATACCAGTCTTTACCGAGTTTGATATATGGAAGCCTTACCAAAATGAAGAATTACAAGGTTTAAACCTATACCTAGTGG